AATAATTGAAATTACAGGTGTTTTTTTTTTTTTTGGTTTATTTTTTGTTCCGATGGTATTTTCAAATTGGCCTAAACGTTAAAAAACGGGCAATTCGGTTTGGATGAAACTTTAAGGGTTTTCATAGAATTTAACACATTTACAAATGTAATGATACACATGTGACAACTTTTCTTTTTTTCTGTTTTATCGACCTTGATCAACTACTGGTACTGAAGAAGGCTATATTTTAAATAAGAACATTTGACAATAAACATACTTAACTCTGCTTGAACGTACCTGCTGATTTTTATTCCAGAAACAAATTCGTATAGTTACTACTCCTGGTTCGGTACAATTGCTAAACTGAAAAGGAACAATCCACGCAGTGATAAGTGTTTCAGTTACGCGCAAGATTGAATATTTATTGTCTATACATTTCCAGTTTTAAAAGTATGCAGTTATACTGAAACTCGCAAAACGACTCGACTGTATTCATAAATATATAAGGTATCTTTCTACTCCAGGAATACACAGTAATCTTAACTGTATTAGATTTGGCAAAACCTTTCGGATTTTGGTTCGTCAATTCTTTCAACTTCGTACTTTATTAGGACTTTTAACTTTTTCATTCGAGCTTCACTTATAAGTGTTTTGCATTGAAATTTAAAACTTCACTACAGACAAGGGCATAGCGACGAGTTGGGATATATTTACACCGTTAGACGGTGCCAAAGGAACATCACCGTCCAAAAAGGGAAAATTTACAATAGTTAATCATCTGACTGTTTCGTGACGACGTCCCAAAGAATAGCCTCAATATGTCAGTAGGATAGATATTCCATGATTATTTTTTTTATTACTTGAATGTGATTAATTTTCAGAAAAGTATTTCTTTTGTACTTTTACAGAACATTGCATGTGTGTAGTGCCATTCAAACAATATCGATAACTACAATTCTGTACTGCTAAACGTTATTTTCAAAAGCTCAATGCAGATACGTCACAATAGTGGCTGCCGCTTTTATATTATTGCCAAAAAAAAAAAACATGATCAGAATCGGTGTTTAATAAACCCTGGCCTCAAACGTATTATTTTTGATTGATTGATCGATTGTGTGTTGCTGAACGTCCAATGGCATATTATTTTTGAAAGTACATGGCTAAATGGGCGAAGGGTTGGTAGATGTATTTGAAATTGTTTCGTCACAAATCAAAGGAATTGACATTGTATATGAATAAAAACAGGAAGCAATGTTAAATGTTAAATTGATAAAAAATATAACAAAGTTTGTGATTTTACTCATATTGCGTTGAAATTAATGTTGTCACCTTTTTCGCTTGAATAGTTAAATTCATTTTGATGATTATTTTTCACATGAAAAGTAAATACTATATATGGTTCTGGATGGTTTCACATGAAAAATAAATACTATGCATGGTATTGGTTCTGGAATGCTCGACATGATCTTTAATTGTTTAACGACATGCGGAGGAATCCAGAAATGAAATCTTCTATCAATTGTTTCCTACTTCGCTAGTAGTTTTTTTTCACACGAGTATTCATTCCCTTTATGAAATTATGAAGTTACACTATATCATATCCATTTAGACTGATTTAGTAAAGTAAGAGTGTATTTAGTAAATATTTCAATTATGTCTTGAATTCTCACGAACGTTCTATGAAGACATGTAAACGTGATGTGTGGTATTGTAATATGATTTTTTTTGTCCCTTCTTTCTTGCATGAAAGGTCAAAGTTAGTTTATCTTTACACTTTATTAAAGTTTGTTACATTTTAATTGCGTGTTTGTCACAGGTTAAGAGGAGATTCAGCACTAACGACATATTTAAAGCATCCGACATTGTGTTTGGGTAAGTAATTCTTTTCACTATACTTAAAAAATTATACCCCTCAGGATTCTAAAAAATAAAAACAATTCACCCGAGTAATGGTATTGTTTATTTTTTACACATTGTGACTTGGATGGAGAGTTGTCTCATTAGCACTCATACAACATCTTCTTATTTCTACGTATAAAATTCATTGATGTAGTTTGAAAAAATAAGTACATCGGAAACTGAATCAACATTGACATCAGGACAATCGAATAAATAGTGTCTACATTCAATACTTAAATAAGACCGTCGATCGTAACAAAATCGTATTTTATTTTGTTTTATTGTATTTAATTTATTTATTTTTATATATATTTTTTTTTTTTTTTTGGGGGGGGGTGTCCTGTTTGACCTATCACACGCTACAGTCTTGTGTCTCGTCAAATAGTGTCTATGTAAGCTCACATTATTGTTATTTTTGATTGATGTCACGGTAGTTAGTTGTCTACTTATGAATATCATTTTATTTTTACATATCTGATCAATGTCAATGTTTTCATCCATTTAATGTATTTTAAAAAAGATACTTTAATTAAGTAAACATAGTTCTTGTTTTAAGAGGAAAAGAAATGTAAGTCTTTAAGGTCTTATTGATTTCTCAAGCCGAAGCGAAGGTGTGAAAACGCGTAGGAACTGATACTAAAATATTTGGGCATATAGAAATATGACATTTTTAAAATTGGCAATCTTGATATTTCCTTTGTTCTGCCAAATTCAAGTATTGATTCATCCGCATTTCATTAGTAACACAACATGTCTATGTGAATATTGCGAAATATATATTTATGAGCGACTGGCCAACTCATCCATTTCCTAATATTTATTTATTGACAGCTTTAAGTCCAGCGGCTAATATTACTTGCAAATCATGAACGTATAACATATTGGTGAGATTTGCACTAATATACCTGCTTTATAATAGGCCGACAATCTGAGCTAGCTTACAAGGTAACAGTACTGATGAGATACTAATACACATTATCTCACTATGAGATGACTAATACTATTTATCTTCCACTTTTCGGCAATAAAGTTAATCGATAGGTTGTTATCATTCCTATGGGCATCAATTGCGCCCCTTTAATAGCACGTTTATTTCTGTATTGTTATGAATAATATTTTATGGTCAAAGTCATCCATTATAATAATAACTTTTTTACAACTATACAAATCCTATATATACCACTTGTATCATGCAATAAAAAACATGTGATGAACGATCTTGTATCATTTTTTTAATAAAAGATTTCTAACATTCTACACATTTCATAGTTCTTATTATTACACAGAAAAATAATATGAAATCGATGACTTCAAAGTGAGGATGTAGCACCCACAACATGACAGTTCCTGTCGGTGTTTATGTTGTTTTAGCTAAGGGAACACAGTAGTTATTGAGGAAAAAGGGAAGGAAGTTGCAAAGAATTGAGAACAAAGAAGAACTGAAAAAATTGGGAAAAGTATGAACAATTGAAGGAGGAAGAAAAATAATTTTCTGTTCAACCCCCTGTTATATAGACGAAGGATGTACAGTGGATTATGAGGAGACTGAAAAGTGGGAGTTGGGGACAAAGTGACAAGCAAAAAATCAATCTAATAATCTAGTAGTTAGTAATCGTCCTCTGTCATTTTCATTTTTTTTTGTCGAGCCTGCGACTTCTGTCGCAGAAAGCTCGACATAGGGATAGTGATCGGACAGTTGCGGCGTTAACAAACTTCTTAAAAGCTTAATATTTCAGAAGGTAGAAGACCAGGATCCTTCATACTTTGTATACAGATGCCTTATGTTATGGGGTTTCCGTCTATTATATGTCCATTGTCCTTGGCCTCATTTTCATGGTTCAGCGACTACTTGAAAAAAAAAGTTTAGATTTTTAGTATTCTTAATTTATCTCTTATTATTAGTAATTGGATAACTATGTTTGGTATGTGCGTACCTTGCAAGGTCCTCATGCCTGTCAGATAGTTTTCACTTGACCTTGACCTCATTTCATGGATCAGTGAACAAGGTTAAGTTTTCGTGGTCAAGTCCATACCTCAGATACTATAAGCAATAGGTCTACTATATTTGGTGTATGGAATGATTGTAAGGTATACATGTCGAACTTGCAGGTGTCATCTGACCTTGACCTCATTTTCATGGTTCAGTAGTTAAAGTTTTTGTGTGTTGGTGTGTTTTTTTAATACTGTATGCAATAGGTCAACTATATTTGGTGCATGAAAATATTTTACGATGTACATGTTAGTCTGGCAGGTTTTATTTGACCTTGATCTCGTTTTTACGGTGCGTTGCTCAATGTTTTTTTTTTGTGTTTTGGTCTATTTTTCTTAAACTATGAGCAATAGGTCAACTATATTTGGTGTATGAAATGATTGTAAGGTGTATATGTCTGTCTGTCCGTTATTAACTGACCTTGACCTCATTTTCATGGTTCATTGGTCAATGGTAAGTTTTCCTGGTTAAGTTTGTTTCTTAGATACTATATCTAAAGCATGTAATGATTGTAAGTTGTACATGTTTGTCTGGCAGGTTTCATCTGACCTTGACCTCATTTTCATGGTTCATTGATCAAAGTTTCCAAAAAAGTGTGGGGATGTAATTTTGTCCCTTGATCACCCCGGCTCATATGCCTCAATTTTTGGTGGGGTTCGTGTTGCTCAGTCTTTAGTTTTCTAGGTTGTGTTTTGTGTACTATTGTTTGTCTGTTGGTCTTTTTCTTTTTTAGCCATGGCGTTGTCAGTTTATTTTCGACTTCTGAGTTTGAATGTCCCTTTGTTATCTTTCGCATCTCTATTAAACCAGTCGATAAGAATATACTAAATGAAATATTAATAATTCAATTCCATCAAAATCTTCCAATCTTTTGTTTCTTTTACTAAAATATTCTTATGATTTTCATGAAACCTTCAAAAAATGATAGTAAAGATGTATTTTTATTTCATTTCATGCTATTTCTATAGTAGAAATAAATTGCTTTTTGTTGCATGTGAATACTAGCATTTTTCTTCTTAAGTGACACTAAAAATGCAAAACGTAGAAAACAACAACAGATGGCAAATTAGTGGGTTGGCAAAGATGACAATCCTGGAACCTTATTCATATAGCTATATATGCAATATACACATGTTATAAATGTTTAATAATAAATAGCAAGGGTGATCAATATCAAAGCATTATAATAGAATGAAAAACAAATCATGGTACATGTATACTATTTATGAAACATTATATGAAGTAAATAATAAGATAGATTATGAAAAACATATATGCTTTGTTTTTTAATACATGTGTAACAAGTTACGTACATAAATCTGTCCATACAGCTCGAGAAGGGAGAATATGGTTCACATACATCATAAGAACCCGTAAGAAGGTTTGTTGAGGGATAAAATTTTAAAGAATATATACCAAAAATTAGAGAAATAAGTTAAGCACTGAAACAATATAATACTAAAATACGCTTTCTGATAAAGATTTTAAAATTTGTAATTTATCGAAGTTCAATATGAAAGTATGGTGTTCAATCTTAGTGACTGAAACGCTTTATACAAACGTGATCTAAATAAGAACAAAATTATTATTTTCCATGAAACTACGTGTTTCTGAGTCTAAAATCACGAATTTAAACTCTATTAATTGTAGACAGTTAATATATAAATAAAAGTACATTCACATAGTTGACGCTACCAAATCCAAGTTAGTATCCATAAAGTAAATATCTCTGACTTGGCACCATTTAACATAGATATTTCTATACGCTTTCTCGTTGGCTCGTGTCAACTATAATAGCTGAAAAGTATGTCTTTTTTGTATTAAAGTTCGGTTCTTAATTACAAGTAGGACTTTGATTATAGTCTCTGCAAAATGTTCTTCGACGACTCAACACAAAGCTATATTTAAGTTCTGGGTAAGTTCCTTCTCGGCAAGGATATGTCATTTCCTCTCTTGTTGCACATCTGCTAACAACTTCATATGTTTCATGTTCTATAAAGACCGACATGTCAATGTGTGAATCAACAGATTTTGATGCTGGTAACCTTATGTCTAACATCACTTTATCGTATGACCACGACAGGAACCGGAAGTCACATTCATAAACCTCTCCTGATTTTTCTTGACAGGTCGTAGATGTGATCTGTCCCTGGGGACAATATACAACGTTACCGCTGAGTGTTACAATGACTTTTGTCTCAAAATCAGGTTCATATTTTCTGCAATGAAAAACATAGATACATATACTTAAAAAGCTAAGAGTCAATTTCCCTGTATTTGTTTTCGTAGCAGGGTGATTATCGGACAACTTTTTTTAAACCCATTGCAATTTGAATATAACAGAGAGTAAAAGTAATACATTTTTATAAAAAAAATTATCAGTCTTACATATTTCCTATTATCAAAATGTTATTTCATCGCTACAAATTGCTATACAGAGCTTTCATGTTTTTTTTCTTCAAAATACAGATTTAAGAACTTTTAGAAATTGGCCCTAATATTAAATAAATTCTGGGGAAATTGGCTCATCCTCTTTCACCACTTTAAACGAAGATTACATCATTTGAAAAAGGTATATCCTGTTATGCATCGAAAAATTTCAATATTAAGTAATATTAAGTAAGTAATTATGGAAATGAATTATAGATATGTGAAGGCCTGCGCATGATTGTAATTTATTCCATTAAATGAATCATCACTTCTCAATTTTCTTACATGTTAATAGTACGAAATATTTCATAACTTCAAAAATAATACACTTTTTCTGCAGATCTGATCATGTCCGAACCACTTTTTATCCGTTTTACCTTCCAGGCATCACTTCCGGTTTTAATTACCTTTCTTATTGTTTAAATTGCAGTGTTTTCTATTTGTTGTTTTTTGTGGCCTCGTTTTCGTTTAGTGTATTGCTCTATGGACTTCGAATTTTTGTTTCAACTTAAAAATGCCTTACTTGCAGTCCTTTTCTGGCTTTTTACTAAGATAAACATGAACTTGTATAGAAGATAGACGATGAGCAAAACAGATTAATTTTAACTCGTTCTTTGTAGTTGTAATGCTTTAAGTGATCTACTAGTATGTTTTGTTAATACATCGACGAGTATCTTGAATATATACATATTGTACTTACTGTCCTAACAATACAACGTCAGGGATCCAGATTTCTGATGATGGAAGGCTAACTCTGTTCTGACCTCTATTCCAGGACAGTCTAGGGTCATTCCAACTCATACACTGCATTGACTCAAGTACGAGCTTTCTATTTTCCTGAGAGAAAAAAATGATTTGATAAAGCGTTCTTTCAAATGTATCATTTATGGCATGTTATCATGTATATAGGAATACTCTAAACCGAGTGTTTCAGCTTCTCTGATTTTAATTGCGAGATTAATATTCACAGGTTCACGTTCATTATTTGGGGTTACATTCAATATCTGTATTCTTATTTGAAACCATAACTTTTTACAGCTTGCACATGATATGTGTTTTGCTCCATTGTCGAAGGTCGTACAATGCCCTATTATAGTATTTATTAACATCATCTTCCATTGGTTTCTGATGGATAGTTATGTTGTCTCATTGGCAATCATACCACATCTCCTTATTTTTATATGGATGTTTCTTGTACATAATGTGTGAACAAAGTGATGGACTTTTTTAATTTGAAATTAGTAATTTCAAAAAATAATACTGGTCAAAGTCGTAAAAGTTTTACCACGGTCACATGGTTTTAGCAATTGTTTTCACCGACTATGTCATTGTACGCTGCAACAATAGAGGGAAGGAAAAGACATGTTAAGTAAGTGTTACAGATTTCAGGGTGCCTCTAGTTTATTAAATACTGTGAATCCGCTCAAAATTAGGATCCATGTCTCGTTACATGCTAGACTGTGTCATTTTTATACAATATTATTTCCGATGAATGAATGCCATGCCTCATTTAATAAGTATTAAATCATCTTTACGAGACGGATCTTCCTATTAAATGCATATTTCATTCAAAACCTTTACACAAACACAACGCCACCAAGTGGTATGTTAAAGGGTCACACCTAAATTTTCTATATTAATCATACATGTATAAAATCAATGTTTAATCTACTACGTGGGTATTTAATCATTTAAAAAATGTCAAAGTTTGTTTGAAGTTTTAAAAAGATTGATCGAAATCTTCTCAACAAAATACTATTAGTACCTGTATATATAACGATTTAGATGGTGCCAAAACTAAAAAAAAAATAAAAGAAGAATGTGTCCAAGGACACGAATGTCCCCGCTCAAGCTTGCTTTTCAAACGAAAATGGGACGGACGGAAAGACGGAAGAACGGTCAAGGGTAACACTTAATAAAGGCGACGGGGGCATAAAAATATGTGTTAAGGGTTTCTCAAAAATCCCTTTTTCAGGCGAGGATCCAGGATTTGATGCTAGGGTGTGTGCTCCTGAAAATTAGAAATTACAGGACTTTATTTTGTCCTAAAATTGGCTGTAAATTTACCATTATCGCATTTTTTAGGGGTGCTGTGGGTGTCGGAGTCTGCACCTGGTTTTATTATGCTTCAAATTACCTACTCTTAAGTTGTTATTGCCACTTTGGTAGAGTATCATTTCAATATTTCAGGTTTTCCCCATATGTTCATGGTAAAAAAATTGAGCAAAATGAAAAAATTCCGACCTACCTATAATACCTTCCTTATGTTTCAAAAGGAGCAAAACCTAAACCTACATATTTTTAGTTTGGCCTTATTGTGAAATGGTTGATTGTGGGGTTTTTTTTCTCCCTTGACACAGTTACATGCACTAGTATAATTAGCAGGCCCTCGTTTCACAAAAACAAATTCATGACTTAAATTGATCGCAAGTCATGAACAATTCAGTATACTTACGAGTAGTTTTAGTCGTAAGATTATTGTGTAAAACGCAGGCCAGGTTACTAAACTAATAAAATGCTCAGCAGGGCGCAGCTTGATACGACCGCAGAGGTCGAACCCTGAACAGTTGGGGCAAGTATGGACACAACATTCAAGCTTGATACAGCTTTGCATTTGGATTGTGATTAAATATTTGACACAGCATAGGTTTCTGACACAGAATGAATGTGGTCTAAGAACTTAAAAATTTTAAATTGGACATTCACCTATTATGGTCCAATATCCAAAATCTAAATACATGGTTAGATTCAGCATATCAAAGAACCCCAAGAATTCAATTTTTGATGAAATCAAACAAAGTTTAATTTTGGACCCTTTCGACCTCAATGTGGACAAAGTTGATAACAGGGCCCAAAAATCAAAAATCTAAATACATGGTTAGATTCAGCATATCAAAGAACCCCATATATTCAATTTTTGTTGAAATCAAACAAAGTTTAATTTTGGACCCCGATTTGGACCAACTTGAAAACTGGGCCCATAATCAAAAATCTAAATACATGTATAGATTCAGCATATCAAAGAACCCTAAGAATTCAATTTTTGTTAAAATCAAACTAAGTTTAATTTTGGACCCTTTGGACCTTAATGTAGACCAATTTGAAAACGGAACCAAAAAATAAGAATCTAAATACACGGTTAGATTCGGCATATCAAAGAACCCCAATAATTCAATTTTTGATGAAATCAAACAAAGTTTAATTTTGGACCCTTTGGACCTCAATGTGGACCAATTTAAAAACGGGGCCCAAAATCCAAAAACTAAATACACGGTTAGATTCAGCATATTAAAGAACCCCAAGAATTCAAGAATAAAACCCCATTGAAATTGGTCAAGAAATAAGCAATTTATACGAAGTATCTTCTTTTGCACAATACTGTGCAATTAAATATTTCTTGCTATTGTGCAATACTGTACAATTGACAATTTCTTGCTATTGCGCAATATTGTGCTATTGGATATTTCTTGCTATTGCGCAATACTGTGCAATTGAAGATTTCTTGCTATTGCGCAATACTGTGCAATTGAAGATTTCTTGCTATTGTGCAATACTGTGCAATTGAAAATTTCTTGCTATTGCACAATACTTATAATATAATAATTTACACATCCTGTTTGGTGTGTATCTCCTACCATATCATTATTATTTGCTTTTAAATATAAATCAAGAAATAACCAACTTAAAATGGAAAATTTTAAAAGAAAAAAAAAGGAAAAAAAAAGAAAAAAAAAAAATCCTGCCCCCAAATTTTTTGAACCCCCTTATGATTCATCACACCCAAACTCAATCCCAGCCTTCCCTTTGTAGTATGGTACCTTGCAGTACAATTTCAGAGAGATCCATACACTTGAACACAAGTTATTGTCTGGAAACTAGAAAAATGTGTTTTTTGGCCCCTTTTTGGCCCCAAATTCCTAAATGTTTAGGGCTATTACCCCCAAACTCAAACCCAGCTTTCCCTTTGTGATATGGAACCTTGTAGTACAATTTCAGAAAGATCCATACACTTACACAAGTTATTGTCCTGAAACTAGAAAAATGCTTGTTTTTTGTCCCTTTTTGGCCCCTAATTCCTAAAATATTGAGGCAATTACCCCCATCATAAATCCCAGCCTTCCCATTGTGGTATGGTACCTTGCAGTACAATTTCAGGGAGATCCATACACTTGAACACAAGTTATTGTCTGGAAACTAGAAAAATGTTTATTTTTGGCCCCTTTTTGGCCCCCAATTCCTAAACGTTTCGGCAAGTACCCCCAAACTTAATTCCAGCTTTCCCTTTGTGATATGGAACCTTGTAGTACAATTTCAGAAAGATCCATACACTTACACACAAGTTATTGTCATGAAACTAGAAAAATCCTTGTTTTTTGCCCCATTTTTGGCCCCTAATTCCTAAAATTTTGAGGCAATTACCCCCAAAATCAATCTCAGCATTCCTTTTGTGATATGGAACCTTGTGGTACAATGTCAGAGAGATCCATACACTAACACACAAGTTATGTCTGGAAGTTACGAAAATGCTTATTTTTGGCCCCTTTTTGGCCCCTAATTCCTTAACTGTTAGTACCATAACCCCCAAAATCAATCCCAACCTTCCTTTTGTGGTATTGAACCTTGTGGTAAAATTTAATAGAGATCCATTCACTTAAACTAAAGTTAGAGTGCGAAAACCAATGTGTCTTCGGACGACGCCGGACGACGCCGGACGACGACGACAACGACGACGACGACGACGACGACGACTACGACGACGCCAACGTCATACCAATATACGACCACAAAAATATTTTTGCGGTCGTATAAAAAGGACAACATTACTGTATCTATTATATTTACTGGCGGTAAAGTAAGAATGAGAAACCAATCAAACTTTTTTCTTTCTTAAGGCTGTGTAAATGTTGTCTTCACTTTTATTATTGGTTTTAATACTATGTGACATTCACCTGTTTGATTATTAACTATTTTTTAGGGTGTGTGCTTGTATTTCTTATTTTTCCTATGTATTGAGTACCTGCCTAAAGCCTTTTAAGGGGATGTGAATTAAACTTTTTTTGCGGAGAGATGTTTTTTTACCTACATGGCAAAGATATTAAGGGATATGAGGATTTATAATATGATATGAAAATTTAGTCATGTTAGATATTTTTTAATATTCCATTTTGACTATTCAGTAGAGCCTGTTGTTTCTGTAACCATTCTAAACCACTCTCTATACTATTTCAAGTTTTATTTGAAACGTACACCCATGAGTAAGTATATATATATGAAGAAGTAGCTATATCATTGGCGATCTAAAGTTGCTAACATCTAAGTCATTTGGTCTCTGGTGGATATTTTCATTGGCAATCATACCACAGCTCCTTATTTTCATATAAGATATACATTTTGATCAATTCTAAGTCTCTTTTAGTCGCGTTTCCACAAAAAAAACCAAAGGTTACAAATTTCTCATGCAGGGCTGATCTCATACGGTTTAAGTTCCTCTTAAACTTGACTTTTCAACAAAAAGACCAGGCATAAAAATAAACACTTTAATTACCCATACAATGAGGTAAACTTTCATACACCAAGCTCAAGGATTTGTATAGTGAGATGCATCACGGTAAATCTCGCAAAATCTCATCATACGCAGCTTATTTCAATACAGGCAATGCAAATAGTCCACGAGATTCCAATCCTTCTCACTATACAAATCCTTGCCAAGCTAAATAAATTGTAAAATACTCATCTGAATACATCATATAAAAGTGATAAATCAGTTTATGAGTGAGTAACTGTTTTTTGTTTTCGTGCATTCAGAGAGGAATTATCTTTTATTTCACGATGTGGTA